TTGAGTAATAAAAAAATATGTCACAAGGCCAAAATGAGGGATAAGAGAAGGCTGGTAATCAAAATGTCTCATCGTGAAGTTAGGTAGACATATTTAATGACCCAATCATACCACAGTATTCCTTACACCAAAGCAACACATTCTTACTTACCATTCTTACTACAGTCACCTTAATACCACAAAGTCTCAACTTAGTCCTAAGTAGTTCCTCTATGTACAATTTGTACCATAGTGGAAAGTAATATTTATTTTGAATAATACAAAAATGTCGAACAAGGTCCAAAAGGGGAATACGCGAACGCTGGTCTTCAATCTGATTAAATTTAAACTTAGCTAGCCACAATTACCGACACAAAAGTAGCACAGTATTCGTTACACCAAAATAATACATTCTTACTTACAATTCTTACTACAGCTACCATAATACCTCAAAGTCTCTATGTAATCCTAACTAGATCCAATATGCACAATTTGTACCATACAGGAAATTAATATTTATTTTGAATAATACAAATAAGTGGCACAAGTCCAAATGTGGGGATAGTGGAAACTGGTATTCAATCTGTCTTATTTTAAACTTAGCCACAATTACTGACCCAAACATATCACAATATTCCTTCTACTAAAACGACCCATTCTTACTTACCATTCTTACTACAGTCACCACAATACCTCAATGTCTCTATATAACTCTAACTAGTTCCCATGTGTAGCAAAGAAGAAAGCACCTCAGAACAATTACCATGAATATATTTATAGAGAATTAATTCGAAAGCCACGTTACGGCCTTGCGAAATTGACTGAATGCCGAGATGCTCGGTCAGAACCAATAATATTGCAGTAAAGCGTCATTACGGCATTGGAAAAATGACTAAAGCTGAGTTGCCGTGTTAGGATCGATAATGTTGTAGATCCTTTTGGGGTTTCATTAAGACTCTCTAAATGCATAGCAGGGAGACCAAACCATACGAGGGAGCAATATTCAGAAGAAGGACGAATGGTAAACACAGTGAACCAACTTTCCTGACGAGTGTTTATCTTCTTCATTTCTTTTTCACACTTCTTCCATTTGTGTCACAATTCTTTCTTTTCCCTCTTTCCTTTCCTCTTTTTACTCTCTCTCTTTCCTTTTTCGCCCTTTCTTTTTTCCTTTTCCTCCTTTCCTTCCCTCTTTCCCATTTATCCTTCCCTTTTCCTTTCCCACCTTTTTTCCACTTACATTTTCCCCTTCCCTCACACCTTTTCTTTTTACCCTTTCCTTTTCCCACTTTCCTTTTTCCGTTTTCTTTTCCCTTTTTTATTTTCCCCTTTCCTTCCGCCTTTTTTTTTTTACCTTTTCCTTTTCCCACTTTCCTTTTCTTCCTTTTATTTTCCCCTTTTCCTTTTCTCCGTTTGCTCCCCTTTTCCTTTTATAACCATTCATTTTTTCCTTTTCCTTTCCCTTTTCCTTGTCCTTGATTCCTTCCCCATTTTTCCCTATTTCTTTTCCCCTTTTCTTTTTCCCCTTTCTTTCTCCTTTTTACCCTTCCCTTTTACCCTTCCCCTTTTTCTTTCCCCTTTCCTTTTCCCCCCTTCCTTTTCCCATTTTTAATTTTCCCCTTTCCTTCCCCTTTTCCTTTTCCCTTTCCTTTCCCCCTTTCCTTTTCCTCTTTTCCTTTCCCCTTTTTCTTTTCCCCCCTTTCCTTACCCTTTCCTTTTCCCCCTTTTCTTGTTCCCTTTTCCTTTTCCCCTTCCTTCTCGCTTTTATCCTTCCTTTTCCCTTCCCCCATTTTCTTTCCTGTTTCCTTTTCCCCCTATTTTCCCCTTTTTATTTTCCTATTTCCTTCCCCCTTTTCCTTTTTACCCTTTCCTTCCCCCTTTCCTTTTTCTCTTTTTCCTTTCCCCTTTTCCTTTTCCCCGTTTCCTTACCCTTTCCTTTTCCCATTTCTTTTTCCCTTTTCCCCTTTCCTTTCCCATTTACCCTTCCCTTTTCCCTTCCCCCTTTTCCTTTTTACCCTTTCCTTTTCCCTTTTCCTTTTCCTCCTTTTCTTTCACCTTTTCTTTTTCCTCCTTTCCTTACCCTTTCCTTTTCCCCCTTTTCTTTTTCCCTTTTCCTTCCCCCCTTTCCTTACCCTTTCCTTTTCCCCTTTTCATTTTCCTCCTTTCATTTCTTCTTCAGACTTAAATTCTTTTCTTCCAGTTTGCGCAATTCTTTATAATCATCGTAAAAATATGGCCCTTCCATTGTAACACATTTCCAAGCTAATTACAAAGTTCTAGAACCATTTCTGTCGGCTTTATAATCATGTTAACGATTTCATTTCCAGTCGCCATTCATTATTAATGGTTTCTTTATATGTAGGTCTCTTGAGAATCATTTCATAGGCGCCAGTCACTTGGAAATTGTTAATTATTATTGAAGTAATTTAAATCCACAATTTACACATGTTTAAAATCTCACCTTGCACGATTAATATCAGTGTTTTGATTTCACGCAGTTTGTTAAAATAATATTTATAATTATTTTAGATTTACATTCAGATTCTTTATTTAATCGAGACCTGCATACATCTGATATATATATATATATATATATATATATATATATATATATATATATATATATATATATATATATTTATTAAAGTAATTTAAATTCACAATTTACACATGTTAATATCTCACAAAGCGCTATTAATATCATTATTTTTGATTTTACGCAATGTTTTAGAATAATGTTTATAATTATTTTAGGTTTACATTCATTAGGCTTTATTTAATCAAGAACAGCGCACACACACACACACACACACACACACACACACACATATATATATATATATATATATATATATATATATATATATATATTCAGTTTTATTGATATATATATATATATACGGCCTGACGATTGTCCCTACCATGAAACAGTCTGTCGCCTCTGAAAGTTGACTTCAATGATCACTTTTATATTTATATTTACATACGCTCTATCTGTGATAATGAGCATTTTATCCCATAAATATAGCACACGTTAAAACTATATTTCTTCATTCATACATACATACATATATATATATATATATATATATATATATATATATATAATTTGATAGTTGTATATTTAGGCAGCAATCTTTCGTTAATGCATGTTTCATTAAAAACGACAAACAAGGTACTACGGTTAAGCTTTTTATTTAATTTTTCTTGTGTTCGAACAAGAGCTTTCTTTTCTGGACAAAGAGTGATTAAAAACTGTCCAATTTTTTTATAGTTTCGAGCGCTTTCGGCTATACATTTAGCCATTATCAAGGATGATTTAATTTTTCAGCTTAATTGAGTGTGTGCATTATATGTCTGTTTTAGTGTGTTGTAGACATGTTTAATTTACGAATACGGTTAGCACATTGTGGCCTTGTTCGTAGTTAATATTGTTAAGAGTTGGCTCTTTTTCTTTTTTATTATAAAAGCTTCAATTATTTTTAATCTTTTTTTACAAGTGGATGAAGTTAATATATTTGTTTTTTCTACTAGTATGTTTCTAATGGAGATTAGTAAATTTGTCTGTGTGTTTAAATGGGTTCCAATGGAGATGTGATCATATAGGTGTAACGGAAGGCGTCTGGATAAGCATGTAGTTGTGTAACCGATGTAATTATTTGAGTCCGGTTTGATCAGGAACCCAGTTCGTTAAGGGGCATTTGAACTCATAGCTAATGTTCGTTCTTTGTAATTTTGATCATTCAGGCCTTCCATAATGGTACCCTGATTTCCATCTTCAAAGTCCACTCAAGAGCTATCAATAGAACGGCGAATAAGTTTAAAAAAGAGGGAACAGTAGAGAGAAAAACTGAATCAGGAAGTTACAAAAACAGAAAGAGGGGTCATCATTTTAACTTTGAGCTAAAGAGGTCAATTAGAAAAGAGCCAACTCAATTGATAAGACGTTTGGCACGTGAGAGAGGAGTTTCAGCTATGACAGTCCAAAGAGCAGTGATGAAAGACTTGTAAATCGAAACGTTCTTGAAATTTATTAGGCTTCTTTTTGTTACTCCAGGAGAGAAAGTTAGAGAGGATGGACATGTCATTTTCGTTTATGATCGATTCATCACGATTCTTCTGTTAATATTGGATATTAATTTTACATTCTTATTGCTGAAAGTAGAGTTCAATACAGTTAGAAAAACCTCGGCGAACTTCAGTAAGATATAAGCTTACATTTTATATATATATATATATATATATATATATATATATATATATATATATATATATATATATATACGTAAAAGACAATGAGAAAAATCTATTATTAGTCGACGTGTTCCGCCCAATGTGGACTTTTCAAGACAAAAAGAAATGGATTTTTGTAAAACGAAATAACTATTAAGAACAAAATAAAATGTCCTTAGCAACTGGAATAACTTAGCAACTGGAATAATTTAGTAAAACTATTGTATATATATTGTCAACTGAAAATTACTTCAAGTACTGTCACGTCTGGAATTTTTTTTTATTGTTATGTTGACGGATTCAACAATTTTCTTTTGACTTCTTGGTACAGTTGTGTACGCATACTTGGGAAAGTATTAATTCTGTTAGGAAAGGTGAAATAGGGATACATAGACAACTCATTATTAATATAACCACAAAACCCTAATTTAACAGATCTTCTCTGCCAATTTAACAAAGTTAAACCTACAATAGACTTCACTTTTGAAACTGAAACAAGAATATAATTAATTTCAAATTCACCCACCACGACGCAAATGAGTCCGAAATTTAATGTTGATAAAACCAAAACGGTAGATTTTATTGGAATTACTTTGTTATTTTCGAATGAAGCACGTACATTTACACTTAAATGGAACAATTTTTATTAGAAACTGAACGCGAGTCTTGAAATGCAAATTACCTTTTAATAACTTTCCAAAATGCATTTGCCCGTAATGGAAAATATAACGAACCCAACTGGAATTGGAACACGGTTCTCCGATTAAAATCCAACCCACAAATCCAAAATTGCAGCACCTAATTTTCTCAAGCGGTCACCCATCTATGTACTGAGCCGGTCCAACGTTGCTTAACTTCACTGATCGTACGAGAACCGGTGTTCCAACGACTGTGCCCATTAGCTGCGAAAAACTGAGTTCGATTTTAAAGCGTTTTAATTGGATCGACATAAACACGAAGAATTGCATTTATTCACACTAAAAGATAAACGGTGCATTTTCCGATACCTTCGGTAAAAACATGCCTCAACTTTTACCAGCTTCGATTTCAAATGCACAAAATGATTTAACTCTTTTCTTGTCGCTTTCTTCAAACAGAGAATGGCAATTTGATAAAATGCTATCAACCAATCACTGTCTTTATCAAATGAGCCACAACTTCCCGCTCACAAAGGGAGATAACCAAATGAAACTTTTTGCAAGAGAAACCAGATAATGAACGCGAGGTAAGTGTCAAAACGTCTTCCCTGCATTCGGTAGTAATTTTTTCCCTTCGGCTTTAAAAGACCGTTACTAACAAGAGAATTTCCGCTAGATTTTCGCGCAAGCAATTCGACTGAATAAGTTCATGGTTAGTAAAAACAGAGCGAAACGGCGAAAGCGTAGAGTTTTGCAGTCATTAACTCCCAGTCCGGTCAGCATCTAGGAGTTTCAATCTGCTTCGGCCACCTTTTGGACCATTTCCGGCCGGAGGTTGAGCGCGTGAAAATGCGGCAAAATAGCCTGTGTCGGAAATAAATATGTTAACGGAGAGTATTGGCTTCGTTAAGGGCCACAGAAAGATAGCACGACGTCCTGATTTGTCTGAAACGTGATAAGGTTGTTCAAGCTGATTAATCGAAAAGCGGGGATTGGGACGCGAGGTCCAGGTGAATGACATGGGTCGTGGCTGGCAGGTGATTCTCAAGAGGCTAGCCTTAGAAACACGGCAATCTTTCAATTTGGTAAGGATAGACAGTAGTTTCGTGTAGGATGAAAAATAGCAAAGACGAACGAAATAGAAAAAAGGGTAAATTGAAAAGAGGTCTCCTATTGTTAATATGATTTTTACTGGTGTAAGCTATATATATATATATATATATATATATATATATATATATATATATATATATATATATATATATATATATATTCTCGTAAAAGTCACCCACAATAAAGTCACCCTCATAAAAAAAAGCCGATACTTAAAAACAAAAGAAATTAAAATATTTGCCATACCACTTAAATGACGATGTCATATTGACATTTAAGAAAGTATTTTTGAGACAAATAAGGGCTTGCATAAAATTTTGGAACTATTTAATTTTACTGGTCCGTTCGAAAAAGAATACGTAGGAAGTATTCGGTAGTAAGTATAAGGCACCCAGTGAGGATCGAACTCACTGCTCAGTCGTAATTGTTCTAGTGAAACAAAGTTTGCTAACCATTACACCGCCTGCAGATGTACCGTGATTTTCCAAGCACAACTCAGATGTGGCACAAGTCCAAAAGTATGGGGCACCCAGTGAGGATCAAACTCACTACTGAGTAGTATTTTTTTAGCGAGACAATCTTGCTTACCATTACACCGCCTCGAGGTGTCCCGTGATTTTCCCAGTGTAGGTCAGATGTGGCACAAGGCCAAAAGTATAAGGCACCCAGTGAGGATCGAACTCACTGCTCAGTCGCAATTGTTCTAGTGAGACAAGCTTGCTAACCATTACACCGCCTGGAGGTGTCCCGTGATTTTCCAAACACAGCTCAGATGTGGCACGAGGCCGAAAGTATGAGCCCCCAGTGAGGATCGAACTCACTACGGAGTCGTAATTGTTCTAGCGAGACAATCTTGCTTACCATTACACCGCTACGAGGTGTCCCGGGATTTTCCAAGTGTAGGTCAGATGTGGCATAAGGCCAAAAGTATGGGCACCCAGTGAGGATCGAACTCACTACTGAGTCGTAATTTTTCTAGCGAGACAAGCTTGCTGATTATTACACGATCTCGTATTACCTAACTGCGTTATAGTGTAAATTATCATAGATAACGAGTTGATAATTTGGCATCGATATAAATTAGCAACACTTCTATGAAATAGAAAATCGTAATGTACGTAATGCCGGGTTAAAAACTGAAACCGAATGTTTGATTCTACTGAACAGGACCAATGTTTGCTAACTAAAAATTATCAATCACGTTTACTGAAAGATTGGGTTAACACTAAATGCAGATTCTGTGATAAATATCCAGAAACAGTTTGACCATTTTGTATTAGGTTGCACACGTGTTGGTACCAATAGAATATAAAACTCGGCATGATAGAGTGGGCCAATATCTGCACTTGAAAATATGCAAATTTTACGGCAGGGAAAGTACAAGAAACTGGTATGAACATCAACCAGACCCGGTTACGGAGATTGGACCTGTAACAATTTTATGAACCTTTAATATACACACACACACACACAGAAGGCCAGTTAACCAGACATCCTTATCAAAGAACACAAGGAAAAGAATGCGCTTTCTTATTGACAATGTATTTAAATTTTTGAAGATCAAAATAGACTGGAAACAAAGAGGTCGGAACGGAATAGTTTTACAAGCAAGAAGTGTGAGATAAAAAAAAAAAAACTCTTAGCATAGAACTTACAGTTACATCTAGCCATTTCAACTTGGAAATGGTGAGACTTAGATGTCTCAATCTCTGCATATTGTAATGTATCTTTGAAGAACTTCAAAGAACTATCAAAATACAAGGATCTTGAAACGGAAATCTAAAAAAATCTATCACATGATGACTTCAATCATTCCATTTGTAGTTGGAGTCATCAGATCGATCATAAAATGGTATGATAAACTCAATGCGGGGATTCCTGGTACACCATGCCTAAAAGGAATACACAAAATTTACTCACAAGTAGAGTTCACACATTACGAAGAGATTTATCTATGTAAAATATGTGTGATGTTAGTATTTTTGTCTATTGTGGCACTATTTAGCGTTTGGCTAACTAATTAAGCGTGAAAATTAAAAGCGAGAAATAATTAAGGCGAGAAGAAGCTATCACGAAGGACATACTGAGCGATGTTATTTATTTTTAACAAAGAAAAGTGGTAAAGATTTTATTTTCATTTGCGAAGAAAAGTATTTTTTTCGCAGAGGATAGGAAATTCGTAAGATCTCGGATCTGTCAGAGTTAATTTATGCTATGACGCGGGGAATAAAAGATAGCAATCTGCCCATGGCAATAATGAAAATTTCAAATTGGTCTAGTGGCTTACAAACCAGAATGCTAAAAGATAATCAGATTTAGATCGAGCACCGACCGAGAAAGGGATCAGCTGAGACCACCCCAAAGAAAAAAGGAGGGGGGAAATAGAAAAATGAAAAGAAGAAACCATTAACTATCTTTCGGAGATATCATTTGGTTTTGGGAAGAGACCACCTGTTTTATGTCCAGACCTGGCCATGATAGAAAGTGTGTTACCGGGACGGATTTTTGGCGACAGAAGTACGAAGGCGTTAAGGATATAAAGAGATTCTGATAATCACTTGACGAAAATCTCGTTGACGAATTCAAGATGACATTCAGTTAAGATAGAGATTAAGGACCACACTACGAGGCTTGGGGGTGTGTTCGAGGAAAAGAAAGAAAAGAAAAAGGAAGATGATTTTTTTTCTTTGAGCGATAATTGTAAGCTTAGGCCAGACTGGCCGCGGCCGTGCTGCCGAGCGTTCATTGGCTGAGTGATGGCGTGAGCGGTGGGCGAAGGTAAACATATGAGAAGGGGAGGAGGCCTGTTGACGCCTCTGAGGGGATTGGTGTGAGATACCACTATAAGAACGAAGGGAAACCTGTTGACGCCCTCTGAGGGGATTAGTGTGAGATACCAATATGAGAAAGGAAGAATTTGGGAGGACAAGTTCCTTAAGAACCTCTCTAAAACAGAAAATAATGGACTTCCAAAAATGGAAAGTCATAAATTTTCCTGTCCGAAAACAAAGAAAATCCTTATTGTGGATTTGGAATTATCGAGGAACACAAACCACAACAGAAACCTCCCGGTTTTGGTCGGCGTCCATATAAACGGCGCAGACGGTAGAAGTTGGGCAGACGCAGACAGCAGAGAGCAGGTAGACGGTAGCAGTTGAGCTGTGAGCTCGGAAACCAGCCTCGCAGGAGCGGACTGAAAGATATCCACACATTCTGGCTTAGACTTCTAACCAAAAACAATTTACTTAGACCCACACCACCAAAACAAGTTTTACGAATTTCGCCTGAAGACAACAAAAACCAGTTTCTTGAGATAACTTAAGATATAAATACTCGCCTAACAAACACAAAGTGTCACATATCCATAGAAGTGGTTTGGGAGAAAGACGCACTCCTGTATTCTTTTTTTAACACATTTGAACCTTTCGAGTTGTTAATTTATTTTCTCTTACATATACCCTGTGCGATGTCACCTTTGCTCGAATTCGGCTTGCATTACGACCCGGCGACTGATTGATTTTGTCTACCTAAGATCAAATCACAACGTGAGTAGGTTAGACTAGTAATCAAAGCAGTTACTTCGGTAACCAGACGTTGGAGGCGAGCTGGGAACGACAAAGCTGATACCGAATCTAACCAGATTTCCATCCGAATCAGCCAAGGGTTAGAACGTCACATTTGGCGCCGCGACCAATACCAATCACATTGGTCGTCACAGGATAGCACAGAGGCAGAGAGGCGCGGGGTGAGGTCACAATATATTTCTGAGATGAGGTGTTATGTACATTATTTACATTATTCGGACTATTGTCCTCATCTTTGTCGCCATATTTATTACAGCGTTTCGGCCGTTGTTTCGCTCCGGTCTTCTTCAGGTGGTTGGAATGTCGAACTGAACCCCTCACTGGGGTAGACTGTTCTAGTTCCACGTGCCATGTTTGATGGATGTCAGTTATCATTTATCTCCTGTTAATTTCCCTCTGAACGTTCTCCACTGCCGGGTATTGAACTCACACTCTTTGGGTCCTGTCACTGGATCTAACCAACGCCTTTATCCACTGTGCCATGTGTCCTCGATTTTTTTTACAAAACTGATCAGTGGTAAATGGAATGTAGCCATTTCTGATCTTAGGTCTCTGGTTGCAAGACGAAAGGAAATTTGTGCAACATAAACTAAAGGACAAATACTACATACGATCCATTGCTAAGGTTGCAGGTAAAATAGCTTCTAGTATCGTTCCAGTAAGTACGTGAATCCTTATGTTATCCACTACCTTTATAAGAGCCAGATCAGGCCGAAAATGGAGCACTGTTGCCATATTTGGGCGGAAGCTGGCCAGAACTTACGTTTCCAGTCTTGATATATTTCAAAAGCCTTTTCAAGCGTTTGTGACGAACTATTTCCCGCCCTGCAACCTTTTTCCCGCTGACAAGAGACTTTCAATGCTCTATCCCCACTGAAAGAGCTCGGGCGAACTACATTCCCTGATCCCGCAGAGGAAAATCTTCACAGCAAGGACACCCCATGCCACTTACATAGTAGCAAGCCACCCACATTCCCCTGTGGAAAGAGAATAGTATGTTTCACTGGAGCAACATTTTATTCACCGTTCACTAGTATCTTAACCTGATCAAGACTAGGGTTAACCGTTATCTTCCACTGCTAAACACACAAATGGCCACCAAGCTTAATCCTCTAGCTGGAGTGCCCCCTGAGCCTTTTAAAGCATGAACCTCGCTGTACAAAAATAATAATGATAATAATAATAATAATATATATACAAACAATTGAATATTAAGACAACAATTTATGAGAAAAGTTTCCACAACATATCTTTGGAAAATGCAGGTAAAGAAATTAAAACCTGAAATAATTGCGTCTCTAAATGAAAAAGAAACGAAAACAAATATAAAATGCTACAAAACTAATCGGCGTTAATAACATTGGGGAGAAATGTGAAAAAAAGAATCCTCTGCACGGTAAATATCCTATCAGTGTAAGCGATCATATTGTAGATGAAATCCATACCCAGAAAATGAACGATATGTAATTGCTACCAAGGCTCAGTGACGTTCAATCAGAAATTACCAATATAAAAATCCAGAAATTTAATATCAGCCAACCCTGTCGCCTATACAGATAATAACGTTGCTTTGCTGTGACCTTTCTATAAATAATTGCATGGTATTTCTTATGAGCTTTCCTCTTTGCTAGCTCGACTTTTAAGCTCAATACTTGATTGGCATCTAAGTCTCACCATTTCCCAGTGGAAATGGCTAAATGTAACTGTAAGTTCTATGCTAAGAGTTTCCTATCTCACACTTCTCGCTTATAAAACTATTCCGTTCCGACCTCTCTTTTCCAGTCAATTTTGATCTTCAATATTTTAAATACAGTGCCAATCGTTATATTTTCTTGTCTTCATTCCTGTTCTTTTATTGTTCGCTTTTCTTACTTATGTTCTTTTTTCTCTCTTATTCTTTCAGAACCAGAAACCTTGCGTCTTGCTGGTTTTATTACCTTGCTTGAGATGAAATGGTTTTTAAAAAATTAACACATAATATATTGATGATTCCTACTGGCGCCAACGGACTAATTGCAACGACATGATAGAACTGCTCCATACATATATATATGGGTCAATATTTCGAGAAATCAACCTCTCTCGCCAAGAGAATGGGCCACCACAAGCTTTACAGAATGAAGAGTTTGGCAACATCTGGAATTACATCGTTCAAGTCTGATAGGGATATCCAGTCAAATCGACAAGACTTTGACAAATAATTGTCTAAACCCGTAACTTCTGATAGATGTTTCTCCTCTGTCGACAAAATAAATCACTAAAAACATTTTAGAAACTACGTAAATACGAGGTCGGTGAGATAGAAATCACCAGAAAGTGGCATCTGAAGACAGGATCATGAGCTCTTCTTATTGGGGCTCAATATATATATATATATATATATATATATATATATATATATATATATATATATATTAGTCAATGTTTCGCGAATTCAACCTCTCTCGCCAAGAGTATTAATATCAAGTATCAAGATATGGTAGTAGATATTGATATCAAGCCAAATCGACAAAACAATGACAAATAATAGTCAAAACGGCTACTACTAATATCACTGCTACTACTACTACTACCAATATTATTAATAATAATAATAATAATAATAATAATAATAATAATAATAATAATGATGATAATGAGAAGAAGAAGAAGAGATATTTGAAAGAAGAAAAAATTCATCTATATTGAGAATAATGAGCATGATGTCGGATATTACAATTAAAGAATATTTTGCATCTGAATAATTTACTTGCCTTGCTTGAGATAAAATGATTAAAATAAATAATTAACCATATAATATATTGATGTTTCTTACTGGCGCCAACGAATTACTTGCTAAAACTTCATAGGACGGCTCGATATATATATATATATATATATATATATATATATATATATATATATATATATATATATTAGTCAATGTTTCGCGAATTCAACCTCTCTCGCCAAGAGTATTGGCCGGAACATGAGCCACCACAAGCTTTACAGAATGAAGAGGTTGGCATATTCTGGAATTTCATCGTTCAAGTCTGATATTGATATCTAGCCAAATCGACAAGACATACTTATGAACAATAATGGTAAGAACCCAACTCTTCTCATAGATGATGCTGCCCCTATTGATAAAAATACATCATTGAAAACATTTGTGAAACTAAGTAAATACGACGTCGCTGAGATAGAAACCGGTAGAAAATGGCGTCTGGAGACAAGGTCATGACCTCTTATTTTGGGGGCTTTGGCAATGATCTCAATAGCAACAAACACATATGTGGATCTAAATTCCCGGCAGCCCTAATATACGTAAATTGAAAAAAAATATCACACATGATAATTTCTTACAACTTGCGTAGGTGTCTCCCTATGCATTGACCACAATTACATGTTCATTTGGTTGTTTGGCACCGTATCCCATTTCATAATACAAAAGACTTCTCTCTTGAAGTATCTGCTTGAGAATTGAGGGCAGTGCCAATCTTTAATTTCTGTTTCCTCAGTTTCTCTCGATTTTTTTATTTTCACACCTTTAAAATGTCTTCTTTTTCTCACATTTTGTATTTGTTCTTTTCAGTATGTTTCATTTATTACGGAATATATATATATATATATATATATATATATATATATATATATATATATATATATATATATATATATATATATATATATATATATATATATGAAAACGAAAATAATATATAAATTCTAACGTTCAGACCATTATTTCAAAAGAGGGCTTAATACTGAAAGTAGAGCAATAATTATTTATTATTATTTTTTCATATACACAAAAAAAATTTACTCACTACATATTTACTCACTATAAATATTTTTCAATGTTAAAAAGGAAGTAACGCTTCATATGCGGCCAGCTTACAAACAGAATTGTTCATAACAATTTTTGGTTCTCACCAGTCGAAGTGCAACTGAATGCACTGAAACAAAGTTGCATCTTTGTAGTGAGTAAATTGTTTTTGCCTATATGAAAAAATATATATAAAAATTATGATAATTAAACATATATATATATATATATATATATATATATATATATATATATATATACAGAAAGAGAGGGGAGAGGAGAAAGATGAGACAGACAGATAAATATGAACACAATGAGAATGATCGATAGATATGAATAGACTGAAGATATATATATATATATATATATATATATATATATATATATATATATATATAATAAATATATAAAAGAAATATGTTGTAGTGGTTCCAACGAGAGAAAAGTATGTATATTAAAAAAGAAGAGGGTGCCGCAAACGTTTTTTGTTTGTAATGTGGATTTATTGACCTGAAAACGGTTAGACCAGACCAGAAACACGTTCACGAAATTATGTTTCAAAGTATAATATTTTTTCTCAATAAATCCACATTACAACCAAAAACGTTTGCGGCACCCCTCTTCTTTTTTTATATATATATATATATATATATATATATATATATATAGATAGATAGATAGATAGATAGATAGATAGATAGATAGATATGAAAAGATTAACATAAACCTTGCATAGCCTCTGTATATATATATATATAGATAGATAGATAGATAGATAGATAGATAGATAGAGAGAGAGAGAGAGAGAGAGAGAGAGAGATGATAGACAGACAGACAGATATGAAGAGAATGAGAAAAATAGATGGGAATAGATAGATAGATAGATAGATAGATAGATAGATAGATAGATAGATTAACATAAACATTTCATAGCCTCTGTATATATAGATAGATAGAGAGGGAGAGAGAGAGATGGCAGACAGACAGATAGGTATGGACAGAATGAGAAAGATAGATGGGAATAGACTGAAGATAGATAGATAGATAGATAGATAGATAGATAGATAGATATGAAAAGATTAACATAAACATTGCATAGCCACTGTATATATATATATATATATATAGATAGATAGATAGATAGAGAGAGAGATGGCAGACAGACAGATAGATATGAACAGAATGAGATAGATAGATAGATAGATAGATAGATAGATAGATAGATAGATTAATTCCTGAAGATATGGTCGATTAGTTAGTGTTCTCCCAACATGAATAATAAGGAACTATATGTGCATTTGTGTTCATTTCGAGACGCGTTGCACTAATTTCGCAATGTCGTTTGAAGCCACCACTTCTTTACGCCTACTTTCAGCGATCCCTTTGCGACGTTTATCTTGTAAAAAGCTTCATATTCTATGCAGCCACATCTGCGCACAAGTCTCGGAGATTGTCGATGCGGATGCAATGAACACCATAGCCATTTCTATGGTGTACATTCAACCGTGCACAGGGAACATTTACCCGAAGCTTAGGATATAATATGCAGTGATGTTGAAGTGACGATGCAGCATGAAATGAATAAATGATTTCTAGGAAAAAGAGTCTAATTGACTTCTTCTTGCATCTGTGCAGACGTCTTTGAACAAACACGAGAAACAGTACAATTCGTGATTAGTGAAATAGGTGAAACAAAATATAGTACTTATATATAAACGGAATAAGATAGATAGATAGATAGATAGATAGATAGATAGATATGGTAAATTAGTTATGGTTTCCGCCAACAGGAGTGAAAAGGACCTCGATTTGGATTTGAATTCATATATATATATAGATAGATAGATAGAGATAGAGAGAGAGAGAGAGAGAGAGAGAGAGAGAGAGAGATATGAACAGACTGGGATAGATAGATAGATAGATAGATAGATAGATAGATAGATAGATAGATCTCTGAAGATATGGTAAGTTAAGAGTGGAAGGAATACGATTTGGATTTGTTCATTTCAGGATTTTACATTCATTTCGCAATGTCGATTGAACCCATATATATATATATATATATATATATATATATATATATATAGAGAGAGAGAGAGAGAGAGAGAGAGAACGAGATAGATAGATAGATAGATAGATAGATAGATAGATAGATAGATAGATAATAGATATGATGAAACTGGAATATTAGCTTTGGGAAACTTCAAGAAGCCCTAATCAATTCTGAATTGGTTAAGAATCTCACATCTCATGGCCTTTTTTCAGTCAAGCAACTGAAAATATATAATTGCGGAAAAAGTCTATCAAACTGTATTTAAAAAATAATGACGCCCATGCTGTAGCTTTGGACATTTCAAAAGCTTTCGACAGGGTTTGGCTTGCAGGTATTTTCCACAAGCTCTAAATTTACGGTGTCTTCTGGCCACATTTATAAGCTGATACAATATTCCCTATAGAATCTTGAAATGAAAGTATTCTTGAACGATCCCTCTTCCAGTTCCTCTCGTACTAATGAAATTGTCGGCAAAGCTCTATCCTTGTTCCGACATTATTTTTGATATTTATCAATGAGCTCCTCGATGGCATCTGCTCTCGACTACGTTGATGACACAACCATTTCTCGATAATAAGTCTGATCAGTTTGATAAAGTCAAAATGGCAACTGATATCCAAAGCAACCTCCAAGCTATTGTTAACTTGATCAAAGGATGACTCGTTAATTTTAACAATTTCAAAACTAAATTGTTCTCTATAAGTCATCTGAGAGAAGTCTCTCCTCCTTCAATCAGCATGGAAGATGTTAACCTCCAGTAGAGCGACTCACTATGCCTTCTTGGGATAATGTTACCGGATGAAATGGAAAAAAACTATATTGAATCCATTGATAGGTCAGATGCTAGGGCATTTGTTTCACTGTGTCATGCTAGACGGTTTTCTCTCCAGAGTCTACCTTACATATCTACAAGTTTACAATTCGTCCATGCTTAGAATACTATGACCAAGTATGCTCTGTTGCTCTTGCAATTTATCTAAATCTCCTTGATAATATCCAAAGAATCAGCAATGTTGTTATCCGCGATCTAGCGTTTCAGATTCAATCATTTTCCCATCGTCGTAAGATTGCCTCTCTGTGTCTTTTCTTTCATGGTAATTGTCTACGGTAGAGTAATGGATAGCGGCTCGGATTGAGAAATCGGAGAGACGAGTTCGAATTCCAGTCAGATCCATTACATTCAGTTACGGCATTGGGAAAGGTATGAATCCTCTTCTTCTCTGTGCTTATAAGTAAATAGCAGGACAGATAGCTTTGGATGTCAACTTGTATACCGCAGTAACTACTTCAGGAAAATCTGACTCGTCAGTCCTGTATCGAAAGATACATGATCGCCTAAGCGTGTATCACGTATGGCACATAAATGACTGACTTTCAAGTCAAATCCATTACATTCACTTTCGTGCTAATAGCCTTGGGAAAGGTATGAATCCTCTTCTTCTGCCTCGCAGCTAAATGTAAATAGCAGGACAGATCGGGTTCTATAAACTTGGATGGCAACTTGTATACTATAGTAAGTAATGGCACCATACTCCGGGAAAAATCTGCCTCGTCAGTTATCTATCGAAAGATACATGATCGCCTAAGCGTGTATCCTGCATGTCACATAACTGACTGACTGATTTTCCAGTTGAATCCATTGCATTCACTTACGTTGGGAAAGGTATGAATCCTCTTCTTCTCTCCCATAGCTATGGGTAAATAGCAGGAGAGATCGCGTTCTATAACCTTGGATGGCAACTGGTATACCGCAGACAGTAATGGAAACCTACTGCGGGAAAAGTGTACATTGTGAGTCATGTATCTAAGCGCGTGTCGTGCATGGCACATAACTGACTGACTAAACTGACGAAGAGGTATCAATAATTTACAAATGAGATTTGAGATGTAAATAAATTCTATCTAAGAAATAACAACTTGTTAAACATAAAAATTTCCGGATCCATTTTTCCAGCAAAGTTTAATTTAAAATTTAAATGTTCTCTTCACGCTTCCTCTATTAGCATTTTCCCTGTTTCTAACTCTTCCAAACCTAGTAACCCTTTGCGTCTTTGTGGCTTTATCGCCTTGCTTGAGGTGAGCTCGATTAAAAAAAACATATCGATAGGCAGAGAGATGTGAATTGAAACTTTTTTACGGCTTATCAACACATTTCAGATTATTTAAAGCCAGAAAATATTTTAATTGACGGTAAAAGATAATAATGCAGGTTCGAATATATATATATATATATGTGTGTTTGTGTGTGTGTATTTAGGCAGCATCCAGGCCGGTAAATAAGTTTAATACTGTTTTATCATAAACTGATTTTCATTTGAAATAAAATACTTGTAAATATGAAAAATAACAAAAGAAAAACATCAAATATTTGTCTTTAATAAATAAATTGTATATATATATATCCATATATATATATATATATATATATATATATTTATATAAAGAACATTTATACACATTTTTTTTATAGATACAAATATTTAAGTAAATGGTCTGTTTATAATAAACAGTATTAAACAAATATTCAGGCCGGTAAATTTTGTTTAATACTGTTTATTATAAACAGACCATTTACTTAAATATTTGTATCTATAAAAAGATTGCATAAACATAAAATGTCTTAAAATAATTGTCGGACTTTGTCCATTTCATAATATATATATATATATATATATATATATATATATATATATATATTTTGCGTATGTATGTATATATATATAAATATGCATATGCCGTGACAGATATGATAAAAAGATAAATATTATTAACATAGATAGATAGATAGATAGACAGACAGATAGATAGATAGATAGATAGATAGATAGATAGATAGATGTTTTACTATTTAACCTATATAAGGAAGAGAACAATTGGATTCATTCCATTCAAAAGTGTATTTACGCGTAAGGTAATATGCAGCCTGATCTCTATCCAACAATTCCGAGCCATTATCCATTACACCAACTGCACATCCAAGAGGTCACCCATCTAGATAGTGATTAGGCTCAACGTTGCTTATATTGTGATCAGACGAGAACAGATGTCGAGACGTGATGTAGCCGTATGACTGATAGTTGTGAAGTAACTGGTATTCATAGACAGACTGATATACATGCTAACAAGAGATATTAATAGAATATTTTATATAATGAACAGATTGATATATAGATATATATTATTACCATATACTATATTCCTATTCTAATTTTCCCTCTATTCGTTAGTTTGCACGACCGTTACACCCTGCCAATACCTCATAAATAATGCACTATTCCGTTTGGATCGCGCAAGAAGTGAAGAAAAGACACTACATCTTGACAATGAGGAAAAGAAAGAAAGAAAGAAAGAAAGTGAGGGAGAAGGGAACGTAGAAATGAACAGAGAGGTAGAATCAGATGAAGATCAGATAAAACATTTTTTATCTTATCCAAAAAGACAAGAAGCGATGTTTTTGTTTCTTGCCGGCCCACGCTGACAGGATGTGACAAAAGGTTAGTTTAATATGTTTAGCCTAAACGCGTCCACCTTTTCCCGGTCCAAAAATACCCCAGCTCCCGCAATCGTCGATTGCGCTGGTATCATTGTTAAGTTAATAGGAGTAGATAGGTTTGCCTCTCGGGCGGTTCACAGACGGTTCCTATGTATTTTTGTGCCAATTATTACAGGCGATTGAATAAACTACTCCTTCTTATTTGTTTAGTATTTTTATTATTTGGGATGTAGCAGTAATAAATTTTATGTTGAGTTTAGATACATTATTTTCGATTTTGGATGTGATAGAATTAGTTGGTACGATAATATATTTTGTAATTCATTGAGTTTTTCAGAAGGGGCCTTTTTGTTTAGGAATATTTTATGGGCCTTTTATTTTTGTATTGAATATCAAATAGTTAGGGTACTGGAGTAGTGTAAATCATCCGGGCTGCATATGCTTAGTGCTCTTAAGAAAATCCGATGATTATGCCGGAATTTATTTTGTTTTTATGATGAGAAATAGAAATATATTAGATTTTTTAGTTGGTTGATTTCCGTATGGACAGCGAGATTTAAGCTGTTAATAAGGGGTGTAGGTTGATATCTGTTAGGGTAAAGAATTACTTTCTTCCATTTCGTATGTAAATTCTATTCTGTGTTCAACTTTGTCTAATTGATATATTAGGTTAAATAAATCGGTATTACAAGGATATATAAATAGCGCATCACCCAGAAAAAGAAAGTATGTTGATTGTTCGGGTAAAAAATTTCAGAAAGGGCTCAAGAAAATCTAAGAAAATACATGCAATCACGTCACTGAGAGGTGATCCCATTGGTTATCCATATTTGTCTTTGTAACAATCATTATTAAATGTGAAGTATCATTAATTGATTTAAACAATTTTTCTAATACGGTTCTTGATAAAATAAAAATATATATCGTTATCTGATATATATAAATATATATATATATATATATATATATATGTGTGTGTGTGTGTGTGTGTGCGAATATATATATATATATATATATATATATATATATATATATGTATTGATGCATGTTTCATTAAATATATATATATTGATGCATGTTTCATTAAATAATATAGACAAGTTTTGTCTATTTTCAGCAAGTTCCTTTCATATTGTCTGAAAAACAATAAACAAAAAATAAAAATTATTTAAGCTATATACATAACACAGTTGAAACCTAACCTGAACAAAATAAACTATGAAATCTCTACACCTATTCTTAAATGCCTATAATTGATAACCGAATCTATTGATTTATATCAACGGCTTCCCATACTTAATACTTCTTGTTTTCGCTCTCGCGTGGTCATGTATGACGTCAAGAGATGCGATGCGACTTTCACTTCCGCGTCTCGTATACACGAGTTTGTTGTTGCTTTGAAATTTTTCATGCAACAAAAAAAGACTATCATTATTGTTTTGTCCGTGTATTGTTTCATATATTGAAATGCAATTGTCATCTTTGATAATGGCTTATGTAAGCCGAAAGCTTAGATAGGATTAAAAATATGTATCAATATGATGATTTTCTTTCTTCTTTCAATGATAATAGACATTATGAAAGGAATTTACTTAAAATAAATAGACAAAACTTGTCTGTATTATTTAATGAAACATGCATCAATGAAAAGTTGCTGCCTAAATACACACACAGTATCTATAGGTGAATCGATAGATTTAAAGAGATTGGGAAAGAAAGAAAGAAAGAAAGAAAGAAAGAAAGAAAGAATAGGCGTAATGACGAACTGAGATTTGAGAAATGGTCAACGTAAAAAAATAGTCACGCTAATAAGCGACAAACGGATGAATGAGAAATGAATAACAGGAAATGGTCGTGATTTCAAAATGTGTTTGATAGGCCGGGTAAACTCTCTCGTTTTACAGTCATAAACCGTTTTGTTGAAATGAATTAAAGAAACAAGAAAAATAACGAGAATTAAAATTCAAAAAGTAGAATCCGTTGAAAAAGTAAAGAAAAAAAAATGGTAAAGTAAGCCAAGTGTCTAAGGATCAGTCCGGTTAGGTATCAACACTGAGGCGAAAAATTAAAGAAGGTGGAAAGAATCTGACGACACAGAATTCAACGGAAGTGGTTCCTATCAAGACTGCTTAATTTCATTTATTAACGGTTAATTCTACGGGGCTATTAACGCCACGTTCATAACTGGAAGAGCGCTGCAAACAAGGCCGGAAATAAAAAAAGAAAAACAATTTCTAGCGCAAATCCTGCTAAAGCAGAAGAAAACCAAAGCGTCAGCTGACTGCGCTAAAAGAGACGACACTGAAGAAGTGGTTTTTATTGAATACAAAAAAATGAGCCCGAATGATTTTCAATAGTATTCACGACGGCTCATGACCCGAGAATATAAAGTTGAGAGGTAAAAATGCAATCAAATCTCACAGCGCAAACGAAGGGGAAAGTGAATGTAAGATGGAAGGAATGGTTTCGCGGAAAATGAATATAGGACGATAAATATATAAAATAATGGCGGACGTTAAGAAAGAAAGAAAGAAAGAAAGAAAGAAAGAAAGAAAGAAAGAAAGAGAGAGAGAATTAAATCGTTTAATGTTTCTTAATTTATAAAGAAAAAATGTTGCAATTAGAATGTGAAAAAGAAGACAAAGACTAAAATGAAAAAAAAATAAGAGAAATAAATAAAAAAAAAAGAATATGATAAAGTAACCGCTGAATAAAAGAAACGAAACAAAAAGCCAGACAGAAGAAATAATTATGAATAAAGACGTGAGAAATTCAGATCCACAAGGGAAGATTCGATTATGGCAAAACTGAACAGAATAATTAAAAACTGACAAAAGAAAGAGAGAAAGAAAGAGAGAAAGAAAATGAAACTCAAACTGACTGAGAAATAAACCGAGGAGAAAGAAAGAAAGGCCGAAAGAAAGGCCGATAAAAGAAAGGACACAAGAAAGGGTAGAAAAAAAAAAAAGAAGGAAAAAAGAAAAAAGTGATAAAAAACGTAGGAAACAGCGAAAGAAAAAAGACCGAAAGAAAGAAAAAAAGAAAGAAAGAACGAAAGAAAAAGTTATAAAAGCGTAGGAAAGAAAAAAAGGCCGAAAGAAAGAAAGTAAGAAAAAAGAAAGAAAGAAAGAAAGATAGAATGAAAAAAGTGATCAAAACGTAGGAAAAAACGAAAGAAAAAAGGTCGAAAGAAAAAAAGAAAGAAAGAAAGAAAAATAAAGAAAATGATTCAAATCGTTTAATCTTTCTTAATTTATAAAAAATTGTTGCAATTAGAATGAGAAAAAAAGACAAAGACAAAATTAAATATTTAAAAAAATAAAAAAATGAGAAAAGAATGTGATAAAGTAACCAGAGAATAAAAGAAGAAAAACAGAAACAATAATTCTGAACAAATCGTGAGAAATTAAGATCCAAGGGGGAAGAATAGATTATGACAAAACTGAACAGAATAAATAACACCTGACAAAAGGAATACAGAATGAAAGAGTGGAAGAAAAAAAAAAGAAAGTTACAATCAAATCGACTGAGGCATAAACTGACTGAGAAGAAAGAAAGAAAGAAAAATGTTAAAAATACATCAGAAAGAAAGAATTAAAAAATGATAAAAAATATAGGAGTAGAAAGAAAGAAAGAAAAAAGAAAGAAAGAAACGATAAAATGTGGAAGTAGAAAGAAAGTAAGAAAGAAAAAAAACTTGACAAAATATAGGAGTAGAAAGAAAGAAAGGAAAAAGAAAGAAAGAAATGATAAAATGTAAAAGTAGAAAGAAAGTAAGAAAGAAAGAAAACTTGACAAAATATAGGAGTAGAAAGAAAGAAAGAAAAAAGAAAGAAAGAAACGATAAAATGTAAAAGTAGAAAGAAAGTAAGAAAGAAAAAAAAACTTGACAAAATATAGGAGTAGAAAGAAAGAAAGAAAAAAGAAAGAAAGAAACGATAAAATGTGGAAGTAGAAAGAAAGTAAGAAAGAAAAAAAACTTGACAAAATATAGGAGTAGAAAGAAAGAAAGGAAAAAGAAAGAAAGAAATGATAAAATGAAAAGTAGAAAGAAAGTAAGAAAGAAAGAAAACTTGACAAAATATAGGAGAAAAGAAAGAAAGAAAAAAAAAAGAAAGAAAACGATAAAATGTAAAAGTAGAAAGAAAGAAAAAAAGAAAAACTTGACAAAATATAGGAGTAGAAAGAAAGAAAAAAAAAAAAGAAAGAAACGATAAAATGTAAAAAGTAGAAGAAAGTAAGAAAGAAAGAAAACTTGACAAAATATAGGAGTAGAAAGAAAGAAAGAAAAAAGAAAGAAAGAAACGATAAAATGTAAAAGTAGAAAGAAAGTAAGAAAGAAAAAAACTTGACAAAATATAGGAGTAGAAAGAAAGAAAGAAAAAAGAAAGAAAGAAACGATAAAATGTAAAAGTAGAAAGAAAGTAAGAAAGAAAGAAAACTTGACAAAATATAGGAGTAGAAAGAAAGAAAGAAAAAAGAAAGAAAGAAACGATAAAATGTAAAAGTAGAAAGAAAGTAAGAAAGAAAAAAAACTTGACAAAATATAGGAGTAGAAAGAAAGAAAGAAAAAAGAAAGAAAGAAAGAAAGAAAGAAAGAAAGAAACGATAAAATGTAAAAGTAGAAAGAAAGTAAGAAAAAAAAAACTTGACAAAATATAGGAGTAGAAAGAAAGAAAGAAAAAAGAAAGAAAGAAAGAAAGAAAGAAAGAAACGATAAAATGTAAAAGTAGAAAGAAAGTAAGAAAGAAAGAAAACTTGACAAAATATAGGAGTAGAAAGAAAGAAACAAACTAGCATATAGCAAAATATATGGATAAAAATGAAAGAAAGCCTTATAGAATGAATGAAAAGAAAAAAGAAAAAAAACCCCATAAAAAAGAAAAAGAATTGAGGAATGTGAGATTCTAATCAATTTAAATATAATTAGACTGCTATATATAGGGGACTAGTGAGAAAGACGGAAAGAAATAATGAAAGAAAGAAAAAAATAAACAAAATAAATTAAGAATGAAAGAAGAGAAAGGAACAAGTAAATAAAATAAATAAACAAATAAAGAAAAAAATAAAGAACGTTAAAATGTATGATAGCCATCGACTTATAAAAAATAGTGTACAGTGTAACCCTGATGTAAGAAACCCGGATATAAGAGAAACTCTGATATAAGAGACTTCTTCTCCGGTCCCGACAACTCTCTTATATCCGGGTTACACTGTAGTATAAATAGGAAAATAATGAAAAAAAAAAAAAAACAAGAAAAAATAAGGAAAGAAAGAAAAAACAAAGAATAGAAATAATGAATGAGAGAAAAATATCAATTTAGATATAAAAAAGACTTGTATAAATACTGAAACGCTGAGAAAGAGTTAAAGAAAGATAAAATGAAATAAAGAAGAGAAAAGAAAGAAAGAAAAGAAATTAACAAATAATGGAAGGAAAGAAATAAAGAAAAAGAGTAAGATGTAAACCGACTTAGATAGAAACGAAGTAGTATATATAGAAAAAAAATATTGACAAAGAGAGAAAGAAATGTAAACACATGTTTGTACTACGTAAATAGAATAAAAATAATATCTCACTATTTATAGCAGTCTCTTTATATCAAAATTGATGTGGATCTCAAATCCCTCCTTTCTTTTCTTTCTTTTCTGAACGTTTCTTTCTTTGTTTTCTTTTTCTATTCCTTCTGAAATTAAAACAAGGAAAATAAAACTAAAAAAGGTAAGACAAAAGTATGGAAAGAATGACAAATACAGAATACAAAATATGTGTATAAAGAAGAAAAATCGATCAACGAAGGAAAGTATAATCATTGAAATATATATATATATATATATATATATATATATATATATATATATATATATATATATATATATAAAAAAAAATGAACGAATAAAGGAGTGAACAAAGAAAGATAAAAAAATAGTAGAAGAAAGAAATTATAAAGAAAAAATGTTGTATCTGGAATGAGAATAAAAGCTGACAAAGACTAAAATAAAATAAAAAATAAGAGGAATCAAAACAGGAAAAAAGAATGTGATAAATTTACCGGAGATTAAAAGAAACGAAACAAAACGACAGACAGAAGGAATAATTATGAATAAAGACGTGAGAAATTAAGATCCACAAGGGGGAAAATTCGATTATGGCAAAATTGAACAGAATAAATAAAAACTGACTAAAGAAATAAAGAAAGAAAGAAAGAAAGGGAGAAAAAAAAGCGAGAAAGAAAGAAAGTGAGACTCAAATTGTCTGAGAAATAAACTGAGCAGAAATAAAAAAAGAAAGAAAGAAAGGTCGAAAGAAGGCCGAAAGAAAGAAAGAAAGAAAAAGTGATAAAAATGTAGGAAAGAAAGAAAAAAAGGCATAAAGAAAGAAAAAAGAAAGAAAGAAAAAAGAAAGTAAGAAAGAAAGAAGGAAAAATGATAAAAAGGTCGGAGTAGAAAGAAAGAATGACACAAAGAAAAAGTTATAAAAATGTAGGAATAGAAAAAAGAAAGAAAGAAAGAAAGAAAGAAAGAAAGAAAGAAAAAAGAAAGAAAGAAAGATGGAAAAGTAATAAAAATGTAGAAAATAAAGAAAAAGTAAGTAAAAGCGATAAAAAGTGTGATGGAACGAAAGAAAAATGATAGTAATTATGAGAAGAAAGAAAGAAAAAAAAGAAAGAAAGAAAGAAGTGTTAAAAAAGTAGAAGTAGAAAGAAATAAAGAAAAAATGGAACGGAAGACATAAAATAACATTGAAAAATGAGATGAAAATGAATGAATTAAAATCAATAAGAAAAATAACGACAGAGTAATTGAATAAATGAAAGGGAATAGGGTAAGAAATGAAGAAAGAAGTAGAAAAAGGAATGATTAAAATAAGGCGAGAAAAAGAAAAAAAGAAAGAAACAATGAAAGGAAGAATGAGAAAAGAAAATGATGGCAAAAGAAAGATGCAGATCAATGGATTTGTTAGAAAGAAATGGAGGATAATGTATGAAAAATAAAGAAAGAATATTGAAAAATCAATAGCAAAACAAGAAGAAATAAAGAAAAGAAATGATTGCCCAAATGGAAGCGAATAAAATCGGCAAAAAGGGGAAGAATTTAAAAGAAAAGCGATAAAGATGAAAGAGAATTAGAACCAAAACACCGAAAAGAAAAGATTAAATTGAAAAAAAAAAAAAAAAAGAAATTGAATGAATATAAAAAAAAGAGATAGAATTGCAAAACATAATAGCTGTGAATGAACTCAAAACGAGGCCGGTTCCTTATCGAATGTTACGCTTCCGTTCAGAGCTTTGACATTCACTAACCATATTTATTCCATCCTTTGTTATTGTTCTCTAATCTTTTTCTCCTCTTATTGTACATTTTTTGTTTGTTTTCTACCACTTCGGCTGAATTATCAATAAATTATTGATTCTTGATTTTCCAATTAATGTCTTTTTATTGCTAGGATTTCATTACAATATTCTCATATCATATTTCACGAAGCTTTTTACCATTTTGATATTTTATTCGCTGTCAATTTGATTTAGCATCGATCAGCGTTTATTTATTTAATTATTTTATTTTCTACGCTTGTGTCTGTATTCTTAAAATAACTTCTGATTATGTATTCGCAGACAAATAAAGTCGATCTCATCTTGAAGTAAGACTTTGCAAGGCAGATTTTCAAGGTAGACCCAATTTGCACCATTTGAGGATTCCTACAACAGTTTGAGAATGAAAAGCCTTCAAATCGAACTATAAATAACGAACATAGATGAAGACAATCGTCTAAATATTATATGAAATAATGAAAATAATTAAACTTTAGAATTTCAGAAAACAAGTAAAATGACGACAATAATCTGAATTATATATAGAACAATGAAAAGACTTCAACTTAGAAATTCAGAAAACAACAAAGACGAAGACAATAATCCTAATAATATATGGAATAATGAAAAGACTTCAACTTAGAAATTCAGAAAACAAGACGAAGACCTTAATCCTAATAATAAATGGAATACTGAAAAGACTTCAAATTAAAAATTCAGAAAACAAGACGAAGACAAAAATCCTAATAATATATGGAATAATGAAAAGACGTCAACTTAGAAATTCAGAAAACAAGACGACGAGAATAATCCTAATAATATATGGAATAATGAAAAGATGTCATATTAGAAATTCAGAACACAAAAAAGATGAAGTAATATTAGCCGTCTTTTTATAAGGAAACATTTGCATTCACTGACTTGGCAGCTACTACTGATTTCTGTTGAAATTTATAAAATCATTCTCTTAACAGCTCTTTCAGGAAAGGGATTTTTGAAGTCAAGTAGCCCTAATCATTCTTTGCAGAATAGATCGGAGTCTCTATCCTAACCATTTTTTTCGAAGTAGTGTAGAATGTCAACACTTCATCCTTATTTACTCTTCGAGTTACATATGCTATCCATTTTACTTGTTGCTACTGTTGAAAATCCGAAACTGACGTGGTTTCTATTATTTAACACATTTGCGATTCTGTATCACCAGACCACAATATTCAAAGAAGGATGATCTTTCCCAAGACTCACAGACTGCACGCGCTCAAAACTAATCTTTGACCATTGATCTTAGAAAGCGCTTGTATACAGCTGAGAGTTTAGATATACCTGAACCGGTTTGGCGTCAAGTTTTACTGACGAGCCTATTTAAGAATTTTCAGGTTGATGAATTGGTTTTTTTAGCAACTTTGGGTGTAACTAACTCTGGCACACCTTACTGTATGTTTAATGGCCATTAATTCATACGCTGTGGTACTGGGTGTAACAGCAAAATCGTACAAATCGTGTAACAGCGTGGTGTAATTGTCCATCGCACAAAATCTGATTAAGATATCTCATGAAACCCTATATATATATATATATATATATATATATATATATATATTATATAATAAAAATGAATAAAAACAGACCACTTTAAGGTTCCATGTAATAAAGTGGTGTGTTTTTATTCAAACATATTTGCTCTGAATTGAATTTACATTGAGCTCTCCGGATATCATCCTCCTTTGGTCTACGCATACGGATTACCTAGTTTTGCATAAACTATATATATATATATATATATATATATATATATATAATGGACTCTCTCGTCGGTTTCGACGTATGAGGATCTGCATTTAAGACCCGCTAGTGATTTACACACACAACAGACACAGACACACACACACACACACACACACACACACACACACACACACACACACACATATATATATATATATATATATATATATATATATATATATAGCTTTTTGTAATCAAATTTTAAATTGTAAGCAGACTTTCTGGATACCGTCATTATTAATAACTATGTCAATAGAAAAAAACAGGTCCTATTGATGCGCTTCTATCTTTTCCGTTTTATCTGCTTATTGTTCATTTGTTTTTTTTTGGTTTTTTGTTTTTGTTTTTGTTTTGCTTTTCCGCAGACACGGTTGTTAATAATTGCCAAAAAATAAATTTGTATCAAAATGAAATTTATTTCTCTTAGACTTCCTTCTTCAGTAGAATGGGAGTTTCTTTTTTCCAGGTTTTCAGAGGAGATGCTTCGCCATTTTGTCACCATTTGTCATTATGAATCACTGAAAATCGATAGTCATTTTAATAGCTATTCAGCTAGAAATTGAATAGGTTAAAATCGTTTTGTGTCAGCCCCAGCAATGGTGAGAGGAAAAAGATCATTCCGGCCCGCAGTAATGGTACCAACATTCATACTCTGGCTTCCATCTTCAAAGTCCATTCAAGCTGTATCAACAGAATGGTTACTAACTTTTAAAAAGAGGAGACTCCAGAGAGGAAAACTGGATCAGGAGGTTACAACAGCATCATTTATCTCCAATCTCCCAATTAGATGCCTTGCTGCCGGATGTAGTTTATCGTCATACCCAGGACTAGCTATTAAGAGGTAGTTCCACGTTCCTCAAAATCTCCAATCTCCCAATCAGAGGCCTTGCTGCCAGATGTAGTTTATCGTCATACCCAGGACTAGCATTTATGAGGTGTTTTCACGATCTTCAAAACCTTCAATCTCTCGATTAGCATTCTTGCTGCCAGGTGCAGT